CTGTATATCATAGATTTCTTAAGAGAAAGTTTCCTTAATCTGGAAGAGCAAACATTAGACAACCAGCAATATTTTCAACAAAAATCACAAAACTATAATCTTCCTTAGTTCATTTAATCCTATGTTCCTAATTCTTGTTCAATTTGAATTCAGCTTTTTAGTTCTGGAAATTCTTACCCATTTTAGTATTAATCTTAAAGATGTCGAATACCTGTATTTGTCCCCAAATTCCTTTTTATAAATCTCGTTGAAGAAGAAACACATTTTGTGAGAGAATACAAACAATTATAAATGACAAAATCTCGGGGCTCCTGGGTGTCTTGGTCAGTTAAGCGTCTGACTTTGGCTCAGGTCATGATCTTGTAGTTCGTGAGTTTGAGCCCTGCATTGGGCTCTGTGCTGACAACTCAGAGCCTGGAGCCTGCTTCAGATTCTGTGTCTCCCCCCTCTCTCCCCCTCTCCCCTGCTTGCGCTCTGTCTCTATCTCTCAAGAATAAACAAACTTAAAAAAATTTTTTTTTAATAAAATAAAATAAATGACAAAATCTCAGACATAGACATTGTTAAAGATCTGATGAGAGTTCATTATGATGCAATTGACAAAGAAATTCGGTTATTTCTGTGACACATAACATTTCAAGTAATCAGAATATTAAGTGATGGCCTTATACCAAAACATTAAATAACTTTAGGACTTGAATATATGTTTGGGCAGTTACAACATTTACCTGTGCAATACAACCTAAGGTTTACCATTGTATGACAGTGCTTTTCCAAGTAACTTAGCATCCCAAATAAAAGGGCCTAATTGGTAAAAAAAAAAAAAAAAAAAAAAAAAAAAGACTTCATTTACCATTTAAATCCTGGGAAGTTTGTTAAAACCTTAGGAAGTTATAAGTACATCCCAAATAGGATTACAGATCATTACAAATCTTAAAACTTTATTTATTCAATCAAGGTGAAAATAAAAGATCCTAATGGTGAATGTATAGCATTATATAGTTGTTACCAAAACCTAGATCCTTTAACATTGAGAAGTTTTAAATAAGTAATCAAAGACCTGATAAAGATACAAACTAAAACTTTGGTTTTCCTGGAAGACAAACCTTTGTTTGCATTGTCTTATCAAGAACAGATCAACAGTCCAAGAAAACTTTGTAATTTGAGCAGAGAGAAAAGCAGAATTTCAGCCTTATACCAGTGTACTTGTAAAATTCCGTTCATCTCAACCTTAGTCCATCCTGAGCACACATAAAATTCCTTTCCAAAGATTTTCCTTCATGAACCTTCTACAACTTTTCTTTGCCTTCAAACTTTGTCCCAAAGCCATTTCTTTCCAAATAACCAGTCTCATTTAGGACAAAATTACTTTCTTCTACCCTCAACAAAAATGTATTTCCATTCCTTATATCTTTCTTACATACCTTCTACTTTCCTACATACAGGGTTGCTTTCTTTATTTCCATCAGTCTTAAGTACACTTAGCAGAATTTTAACTCTTAGGAAACCTTAGTCTCCAATTGAGGACTTAGTAACCAACCATCAGAATTTTTTTAGATGGTAAATTCATGAACCAATTAAGTACAAAGCATGTTTTCCAATAGGTTCAAATAGCCTTAATTTCTCTGCAACAAGAAGTTAAAAACACAAACCTATGTTCAGTAATCAAAGCTTTAGCAATTCATTCTATTTGGAAAAGACCTATATGTCCAAAGGGGTGCACTTTACTCTTTGACCTTGAGGATGGGAGGAGGAACCAATGGTGCCTGAGGCACTGAGGGGGATACAGGACCCAGTTATGTAGACCACATCCAAGTTGGTGCAGAAACAGCAGGGGGAGGCAGAAAAGGCAAGGTGCCAGTAGAAGGCAGAGAAGGAAAACCTAATTCAAAACCTTAACTCAGACAGAGGAGCAGACGCCATGTTTTTTCCACCAAAGTGGAAATACGGAGTCCACGTCAGACAAGAGAAGACCGGGAATTTCCCCGAAACAAATGGAGTTTCAGCAACTGCTTGAGCTGCTCTACCAAATTAACTGAATCCAAGAAGAGGGTCATGGAGAACCAGAGATTTATAGCCCTTCAGTCAGAAGCACAGGTAACATCCTAGGCTTGCTTTTGGCATCTGAAAGTGGGGGAAAGTCCTGTGGGACTGAGCCCATAGTCTGGGGAATCTGATGATGTCTCTGGGTAGAGAATGTCTGAATTGAGTTGAGCTATAGGACACCCAGCTGGTGTCAGATAATTCCTTGTACGTATGGAGGGAAAACCCACACATGGACATTGGGTGCAGAAGCTAACTTTAGAAAAACATCAAGTATCTTTTTTTTTTTTTTTTTTAAATTGGATCTCAACGTTTATTTATTTGGGGACAGAGAGAGACAGAGCATGAACGGGGGAGGGGCAGAGAGAGAGGGAGACACAGAATCGGAAACAGGCTCCAGGCTCTAGGCCATCGAGCCCAGAGCGGACAGAGCCGGAAGGCTCGCAACAATTCAGGGATGAGATCATGACCTGGCTGGAGATAGGTCAGGCTCGCGAACTCGCCACCAGAGGCTGTATATCCCAAAAATTTTTTTTAATGTTTACTAACTTCTGAGAGAGAGAGACAGAGAGAGAGAGAGAGAGAAAGAGCACGAGTAGGGGAGGGGCATATAGGCCTGAGGCAGGGCTCCAACCCACAAACCGCGAGATCATGACCTGAACCAAAGCCGGACGCTTAACCGACTCAGCCACCCAGGTGCCCCAAAACATCAAATATCTTAATACTATTTTCAATTCTTTCCTAAGGGAAAAGAAAAAAGGAGTAGGGAAATAACACAATTTGTTCCTAATACGTGTATAACTATATTTATTTATTTGTTTGTTTTGAGAGAGAGAAAAAAACAGCGGGGGAGGGGATGGGGGGGTGGGACAGAGGATCTGAAGTGGGCTCCATGCTGACAGCAGAAATCCTGACACAGGATTCATGGCATGAATCGTGAGATCATGACCTGAGCTGAAGTTGGAGGCTTAACTGACTCAGTCACCCAGGCACCCCGTATATAACTTTATTTAAAGCAGATACAAAAAAATAATGAAGCAGATACAGATGATAATACCGTCACAGAACAAGAGCAGTAATCCAAAGGTTCTCCAACCGCTGGCACCATGAAACTTGCCTTTGAGCACACATTGCAGTCAAAGATCCAGAACTTAGCAGGAACCAAACTTTTGCTTTTTTGAAGCAAATTTAGCCAAAAGATATGTAGACACAAAACAATCCTAATAGTAAAAACTTGAATCATCAAAAACTAAATGTATAATCTGATTTTTTAAAAAAGACCTATCCCTTAACTCTCTGGACAAAGGAAAAGATTCTGGGTTTTTAAGTTCTTCATATAGGACCTCCTTGGAGGAAATCTACTTTGGGCACTGTGCAGGAATCCACTTTTGAGAGAAGCCCAGAATCATGGGACTCCTCAGCTTGCCCAGTTGGAGCAGGGTAGCTCTGGGGTGCAGAAGCCTTGGTGCCAGACTACCTTCTTCAAATCCCAGAACTTCTACTTGTAAATGATGTGACCTTTGTCAAAGTACTTATCCTCTCTATGCATCAGTTTTCTCAGTTATAAAATGGGGATAGTAATAGTATTAGTCCCAGGTATAAAGCCCTTAAAAAGAGGATAAAATAAATCTATAATAAATATTAGCTAAGCTATTACCATCTGATTATAAAAAATGTATATGTGTGTGTATGTGTATCTTTAGGAAAAGAAAAAGACTTCATCTTTTTTGGAGAGGGGCTGGGACATGGATAACCAGATAATTTGCTAGTATAATTTTCTTCTGACTTGGAAAACCATTTAAAAGTGCATTTTGACATGTCATATATTAATAGCAGGCTCAACTTGCTTTGTCTCTGTCCAGAGATAGTACCAGGGAGAGAGATTTTAAGGAAGAAAACAGGACTTGGTGGGACTTAGTAAAAGAATGGAAAAACTATTATGGGGGCTACATAACTGAGAAAATGATAGTCTGTGGAAACTAAGGAAAGGTTATTTATATGGAAGCAGGGTATACTTAAAAAGTATAGTGATATCCAGAGGAAAAAATGTTCAGAAACGTGTAGCATTAGTACGACAGGACAAATGCACCCCATATGGCAGATTATTAAACTCAGGAAGGAGCAAGGACCAAGTTAGAGGACTGGTCAGAGTTCAGAGTTTAGAGGTTAAGTGTTCTGGAGTAAAGAAACTCAGTTTTCCACATCAGTAGTAAGGTCTCCAGATATGGCTTCCTTACTCCTGTCTCTGTCAAAGATTCAGGGAGCATATAACCCTCTGCTGGGTTATTAGTAACCTGAGTCAGGCAGCAAAGCATTATGAGGCACCAACTGCATACCAGGCTCTGTACTGTGAAAAATAATAGACTTACTCCTTTGTTGCCCAATCTCTGCTTCTGGCCACTTTTTTGGCCATGAGGGAGGGAAGAAAATGTGTGTCTCTAATTTTCCATAACCAAAGCCCTTTCCTCTGCCACTCATACTAGGATTTTACTTTTAGGGTAAAGAGAAAACAAACAAACAAAAAAACCCCAAAAGGCTATGTCAGAGACAGCAGTAGAAAGAGGATCAATTGACAGCTACTATTTCAACTGAAGAACACAGATTATTTCAGACCCCCAGTACTCCACTCCCTACTCCCCAAAGAAGACACCAGAATGAGGCACAACACCTCTGCAGCGAAATCACATTGATTTTGGAGCTTTCTTTAATTTTTAATTTTTTTAATGTTTATTTTTGAGACAGAAAGAAAGTACAGGGGAGGGAGGGGGGTGGGGCAGAGAGGATCTGAAGTGGGCTCCATGCTGACAACAGAGAGCCCAGTGTGGGGCTGGAGCTCATGAACTGTGAGATCACAACCTGAGCAGAAGTTGGATGCTCAACCAACTGAGCCGCCCAGGCGCCCCTAGAACTTTTATCTTCCATAAAAAGTAACACTCCAGAAATGACAGACTAGTAGATTCTTACTTCTAAACAGACCACTTCTTGAGATGAAAAAAAATTTAAATATGTTTCTTCAACTGTGTCTTTTGAAAGCTTGGCTCAAGACATCCTTCCAGCAGTTTTCTTACTCAATTCCTTTATCTTTCAGCTCTTGTTTAACACGTTTCAAATAACCAGGATCAGGGTAGCCAAACCTGCAGAAGGAAAAAGCCCTTTAGCTTCTTCACAAATGGTCTTAAGAAATCTGTACAGTAGATTCCTGGCATTAACATTCAGTGTTGCAAACATTGAAAACAATCTTAAAGACAGATGACTTATAATCACTTGTAAGTGTGTAGAGGTGAGTCATTTAGCTGGTAAGTGAGCCTAGCTGTCTGCCCAGGATCTGCCTTCCACCAAGATGTTTTCATTTTCAGCTCATTGGTAAGCAGTCACTTTCCTAAAGTCATACTATACTATATTTTTATGGAGAATAATAATTTTCTACAGGAGAATTTTCAAATTTGGTAAATTTTCAAAAGTCTCAGGATGCATTCCTTTTTTTTTAAGTTCTTTTTTATGTTTATTTTTGAGAGAGGGATAGAGTGTGAGTGGATTGGGGGGGGCAGACACACACACACACACACACACACACACACACACACACAGAATCCAAAGTAGGCTCCAGGCCTCAAGCTGCCAGCACAGAGTTACTAGCACAGAGCCCGATGCGGGGCTCGAACCCATGAGGAAACTGGACAGCTATATGGAAAAGAATAAAACT